GATCAGTTGAATGAATTAATCAAAAATGTAACAATAGACTATATTAATACATGTATCTGTGCGAAACAAAACAGGGGGAATCTCTCTCCCTTTTGTGTGCATGTGCCGAGCGGGGGGAGGGAGGAGTGAGGATGGCTGTGAGTATTTACACAACATGCCGTATTTTACGAATTCGTAAGAATAACGGCGAATTGGTATGAGAAGTATGCGAATCGATGAGAAGAGACGAATTTATCTATTTTTAACCTCATAGAAAAGTGTCCTCTCCCTGCGTAGCCTACTAAGCGTACACATCGATACGAATTATTTGCGAATTGATCAGTATCGTGTTTGATCTATTCTCTGTTTACGAATTTGCAAGACGAATTCGTAAAAGTTTTTAAGAGTATCCGTACGAATTCGATAAAGTTCGCATCAATTCGATACGAATTCTCAAAATAAGGGTAAAACGCGAATTGTTGCATCGCTTAAAAGTTGCGATTCGTCAATTTGTCTTTAGACACTTTGTCCACACATCTCGTTTTCTAGAAAACTAGTCTTGAAGGGTCATCAGCAAAAACTCGGAAATCTGCAGTTATAACTTTATTCTCCGCGGCAAGGCGGTTGGAATACTGTGTTAAACAAGGCTGCATCTTTCAAGGCAAGAGACTTGATGCTTTTTCGAGCGGAGGGTCTCGTTTTTGAGTTCTCTTAGAAATGACTTGTTTGCAAAGGCTAAGAGCGATGTGGAGAAGTTCAAAGAAACGTTATCATACGCAGTTTGACACGCTGATTCAGAAAAACTCTATTTCAAAACTCCAGAATTTAACTAGAAAAAGCAACAAGCAAAACATCTGAAGAATAGGTTTTTCTGATTTTCGAATACTTTTCAGCATTTCGCAATTTCCATCGGGAAGGAAAGGTCGTAAAGCAAAATAAATGTGATATTCGGATTCAGCTCGATTTGGTATTTCAAGCCTACGAAGAAAACCTCTTTGCCAAATTGAATCCTGAATGTTAATGAATGAAAGTTGTTAGAGCAGCACAGCAGTTCCCTTCAAAAGAGGTACAATTGTTTTTTTTCCTATTTTCAACTAGTTATAGAGTGTAATACGTGGTCAGGTTTTTGGTCACACCTGAATTACTAACCGTTTATTGTATTATTGTAGTCAGTCAACAAGTAAATGGTTCTTCTGCTTGTTTTCTTGCAAATTAAATATTCTATAATATAACTCAAACTTTTTCTTTTACAGAACAACAGGGTTTTGCTTTCTTGTAAAAAATTTTTTTTCTTCTTGGTCTATATCGATTCGTCCCCAAAATATCTCATATGTAAAGCGAAGCAATGGTCAAAATGTTTCTTTTCGTTACGTTTATGTCAGTTCTTTGGTGTAAACTATTTATTTTGAAAGAAAAAGAAACTAACCGTCCATTAACTTGCGAACAACAAAAGAGCAAGCTCCATTATAGTCAGTTTTGTTGAGGATGTGTTGAGATGAGATCAGACCATTCTCTAACAAAGACCATCCGTGTCTATTTCTAATGTCAACCGATATCAATGAACTAAAAACCAAGTATACACTGAGTTGTTATAAAGCGGTTATTTACGGTTACGGTTAACAGTTAATAACCGTAACCGTTGCTTGCCTACACGAGCACACAAATAGACGAAATGATCATGACTTGTCATATCTTCATTGACATAAACATTCTTATACAGTTCACTAGATTTTAATTTTGTACGATTTGTATAGAAATATTCTTTTACAGAATAGCGTACAAATCTAACAATCATCGCCCTGTTTGTTTTGCTTTAATCGATGGGATGCATAGATATCACTGTCTTCAACTTTCACACCCATTACTTTACCTATATATTTAATAATAGCATTTTTATTTCCTTCTTTGTTTTCAGCTATTCCATAAATATGAAATGCACATCTCCGTTGATATTGTGCTAAATCATTTGTTTTATAGTTAAGACAGTCATTTCTTTCTTGTAGATCTTGAACCATTTCTTCTAGCTGCTGCATACGTGTCTCCAGTGGAGCTATCTTTTGTTTAATGATTTCATTTATCATCTGTTGGAAAGGATTAATACTAAGTACATTTTGAGCAATTGAACTAATTAATGAATTTTGAGATATCACAGGTGTAACACAACCAGCTGCATGATCACGATTTGCACGGACTACAATATCAAATATGTTAGAAAAGTGAACTTTCGAAACTTCACTCGTACATAATTAATTTTCCATGCGCGAAAACACACAGTTTTTAATTAAAAAGTTGTTTGCATGTAATTATACGTTCATTTTATTATTTTTGTTTCATAAAAGCCAAAACGCTAACAATGGTTGTGGTGAATGGAGAGCGTCACGCAAGGTTGAGAAATACAGAAAATAATGCTGTTATACACTCAGTTGTACATTAGAGCACTGAAGCATAGCACACGAAGAGCGTATGTGTAGCGACAACATGGAAGCAAACAAACACGCGCACATATTAAAACAAGATGTCCGTCGATAACTCATTAAACAAGCAGATGCATGTTAAGCGCAAAGCGCATGCGAATATCGAGTCGTTTAAAGTCGAGGAACAAGGAGGCGGTATAAACGTTATCACACTCGATGGTCAGACTATTAACAACAGGCCGGTAAATGAGCAAGTATGTATTTGCGACTTGATGGTTCATTAAAGTTTTATTAATTCTCATGATCAAAGTATACACACATGTTGTTGCCAAATTCTAACAGAAGAATATAGAAGATGATCACGGGAGAATGATAGTACGAGGTGAGGATAAAGTTTTGAAACTCACCAGGACAATTTGTCGGATGGCGCACTGGAATTCGCCCTTGCGCTTTGGATGATTTGTCAATGATTCTTAGTTACTAATAGCTACTCACCTTTGTCGCCACTGAAAAATAATTGTTCTTCGATTTTTAAGCATCAATGGTCAGGGACAATGCAGAAGAAGGTAAAAGGTCATAAAAATAAAAGACGCGTGGTGGTGGAAGATGACGTAGTACGGAACGAGCAAACACCAATTACATTCGATGATGGAGAGACGACTGATCCAGGAGAAGTAACTAGCGAAGTCGTCGAGATCGTGAATGATTCACCGCGCAAGTTTGACAGGCTACTTGAAGAAATAGTTGATCAGAGACAAGTGACAGTAGCAGCGGAAGATGATGATAACACAACTGGTGACTCTATCGATCAAAATCGTCGAGTCGTAGAAGCTGTCCATAGCGAACAAAATCTGATAACTACGAACATCAACGATCTCAAAATGAACCCTGGTCCTATTGTGGGATACGCCGAAGAGCGTTTGCTGCCGCTTTCCAAAGCATGTGCTCCGCTGACCAACATCATCTCGGATTTATCGGTCTACGTTGATATGGCACTCGACGAAACTCCAGAAGAGCCACCCGACGGATTGACGATCGACGAGAGCGCTGCAATTCGTCTCTACACGATCGAATGGGCAGAAGCACACCGAAGCCTCTATTCGATGCTCAATGGTGCCCTCAAGAGGGCGGATCGCGAGGATCTTCGACCCTATTTCAAGTATCTGAAACTGTTCTTAACTGCCCTGGCTAAACTACCATGCGTCCCACAGCAGAGTGTTTGGCGAGGGATAACCAAAAATTTGAGCGCGGATTTTCCACCCGGCACCCTGGTGACATGGTGGGCATTTTCATCATGCACAACTACACTGACCGTGCTCGAGAACAACATATATTTAGGCAATAAGGGTGAGCGGACGCTCTTCTCCGTCGAAGCCATTAACGGTAAAACAATACAAGCTCATTCGCATTTCGTTACCGAAGATGAAATCCTTCTTCTACCAGGCACTCGCATGGTGGTTCAATCACAATTCACTCCGGCGCCCGATCTCTACATTATTCATTTGAAACAGATGATACCGAAAGAAATGCTACTGGAGCCTCCATTCGAAGGTATTTTGAATACTTTCAATCGTTTATTTTAAACTAAAGTATTTGTATGCTTAGGTGCACATCTTTATCCGAAAATCAAGTAAGTCTAACTTCGTCTTCATCTGTTTGTGTTTTTTACGAGACTTTTCATCACATTTACAAGACGTCACTGGTATCAACAGAAGAGTTTCATAATTCCAGTCAGCTTACTGACGACTGTGCTCATCGTGGCAGCCATTGTCGGTTCTGTTTTGGGATCAAGATCTACAGGTATGCGTTTTGATATTGCTTTTAGCTGGAAGGAGCGACAGTTCATGCCTACAAGACCTGACCATCCCATTTCACATGCGTTGAAAGATATTAAAACTCCTAGATTCACAGAGAGTATGTCTAGTTTCTTCTGAAAATTGACTTTCGGAAAGAACTTTCCTCAAGAATGAAATGTTCTGGGAACGCGAGATAATGGAGTTTCGCCGAACGAATCTAATAAATCCACTTTTCAAGTAGATGAATGAAAACGATATCTGTTGTATTGAGTAAAAGTACTATGACAAGTTTTATCCCAAGTACTTGCTCTTTTTGCAAGTTATCCAGTACTTGTTCATTTTTCTTCGGGTTATCGGTCAAACGCAATTCTTTCAAGGGTAGTTCTTTCGGAAATGTCCTACACTTTGCATGAAGGTTTGCCGCACAAAATCGCGACGTATATCATTTGAAAGAGCATTTAATTCTCAGTAAGAATGCGTCATCTAAAAACTTTTAAAAACATCGGCATGGGGTTCTAAAAAGGTCCGACATTTGGATATTTTATAGGTTCCAAGACGCAATTCGTACCTAATTATCTCAGAAATGATACCTGAACGCTTTAGGACATAGACTAGAGACCACAAGGAATAAAAGATTCACTTAAAAAAAATTCAAAGTGCTGCGTTCCTCTACTGTACTTGTTCTAAGAGGGTGAAAATCATGAAAATCCGTCGTACTGAAATGCGTTTTTCAGAGGGCTGTGCGATTACAATTACAAAATGTATTGTTCAAAACGGCATCACCCAGCTAACTCAAGGATTTTAGAACTTAAAACCAACATCACCCAAGCGAGAATCCAAAATTAGGCAATCAGCCAAAGAGGGTCCTGTGAGCAAAGAATGTAGGCAGACATACAGACGACAGCAATTCAGCAAGCTGCAAGACTAAAAGTACCACAAAAGTCACTTTACATACATGTAAGCAAAGTTCTTCGCCGAAGTACAATAGAAATGAAAGGTGAATCTTTAGGAAACACTGTCGTTGTGAAATAAAACTTTGCGGTCGCAATGCATGGAAAAACTTGAAACTTTGCGTTCCATAAACCAAAATAATAGCAGAGTGTCGTTTTCCTATCCTTTCGAATAGAGTTAAATTTTATCTGATTTTGAATCCACTATCTAATTTTCTTTAATCTTATACGGAACGTCTGAAATGTATGGAAGAGTTAGAACTGTTCACAAAATACATTCAATCAAAGAAATTGCTGATTAATAATGATAGTTAATCATTGTTAGCTAATTCTCAGAGATACTTCACAGTTCTACATTACAATTTCTTCAACTAAAAATTTTTCGATTCGAAAATGATCTACACAAATATGGAGATATCTAGATGCATCTAAATACGGATAAATGTTTTTCTCGATGTAACGACATAACATTGCCCATGCATCTATATGAGCAATGCTGTGAACAATGCATTTAGCGTCAATTAAGTGGTCCATGAATCTGGCTGACTCAGTGACTCAGACAATACATCTAGACACCATTGTCAATGAACGGATAGATTAATGTTTTAATAAGTACATTTATTTCAATACAGTACTCTTGTACGTGGACCGAGACAAAAAATTATGCCTATTTCGTGTACAAATCAGAACATCCACCCAATAAATTTGGGTAGGTCAAAAACGAAAAGTATAAGCATAGTTTTTTGTCTCCGTCCACATACAAGAGCACTGTAAGCACTGCTTTACTTCTCGCTTCTCAAGGCATTGAGATTTGCATTGTGTGGCATTGGGTTCAACTCGATACATCTGGATAGGTCAGTTTTTTTACTCATTTACCTAGATATTCTTGCTGATGTATTGTCCAATGCTTCAGCAAGAACATCTAGATTTGTCCGCTAGGTAACTTTTGCTTGAGGTGAACTAGAAACGTCCTCGAAAACAGCGCAGGAGAAAATATGCATACATTTTAAAATATATTGCATACTTCTGCACTGACAAACACGAGAAACTAAAGAGATATAATAACAAAACAAAGCAAGATAACATTGTACTTTCTGAACCTCGCAGAACTCAACTTTTATACTTCATTTCTCTGGCTCTGTTCGATAAAATACCAAATAGAGCAAATATCCAATTAGTCAATCACAAAGCGAACTCGTAGAAAGTTAAAAGTCCACACCACGTAGGTTAGAACCGCCACCCTTGCTTCCGAAAATTTCCATCACACAGTATAAACCTCGCTATCCAATATAAAAACGACCTGTTCCTATAGTTTCTATCGTTTTCATTCTTCGTTTACGCAACGAAATATTCCTAATTTTTTGAAGCCCTATAATCGCAAACTTTCAATTCACATCCCGCGCCACGCCCACTCACTGTACAGCACCAAAAGATGTAATTCCTCGACTCAAGCTATGCAAAGTTCAACTTTTAATGTATGTTCCTATAAAAAAAGGTTAATATGGCGGGGGCCTGCTGGCAAACTTGCCATTCGGTTCCAGCAGGTAAAATTCTCACGAGCAGACCTGTGCAGATCCACAGGGAACATGGTGGCAGACCTTAGAAGGCCTGCAGAGACACTCTCACATACCACTGCAGAGAATGCAGCATAAATATGTGACAGGTCTTTCCACATCTATTTTCAACTTCACATGTATGTAAAATTCAAAATTCTAGAATTCTGAATTGTAAGAATTCCTCGACTTCCGCTATGTAAGGTTCAAAATATTTTCTGTCGTATTTGTTGTTATTGGAAGTTTCGAACTTCTTCTCGAAAATATCTGTGAAATTCTAATTCTAACGTATAGCCTTCATGTCGTTTTGAACTTCACATGATTTATTTGTAATTGGCATTTTTTGTTTTTCACCATCAGATCAAACTCTAAACTCAGAACTAAATGTGTACATTAGATTTCTTATGGTCATCTCTAATGAATAGCAAGAGAGCAAGTGCTGAATTTGAAGAGTCCTAATCTGTAAAAAAATCAGCATAGGAGTCATTGCATGGTAAAGACAGCCATTTCTCACATACGTTGCTCAATCAGTGTCTGAATTTTTTGTTCCTATTTGTACAATACAATAGGTAGCAACGACACACTTAGGAAGATTCCCTAAAGTTTTTAATCGGAATTTCCTTCCTTCAGACGCTATGAAATTTTTCGTAAAAGTCCTACAAACAGATCGGAACGATAGTTAGCGTTATGATAGTACCATTTGTAATTCTTGCATCGAAATGCGTTGTGCTCTAACGCGTTTCTTCGCTGCAAATAGTCATGCGCTAAGAATGAACGCATTTTGATGTATTAATTAGTGCAAGACTTGTCCCGTTTAACGCATTTATTTCTACCGCGTTTAAACGCACGACTATTGCAAGACGGACTTTCGGGAAGCATGTTCAGTCAGATTCTGATTTTCTTGAAAATCGGATCTGTTGAAGACATTTCTTAAGCATGCTGGTCTGAATCTTGTGCACACAACACAATGGCCTGATAGAGAATAATAGAAACATGATTTTTCTAATGAATCCAACTGAAAGTGCTTCCTCAAAGTCGACTTGTGTGAGTAAGAAAAGATGGATTGTTTATCGTATGTGAGTTCGAAGTACAAAGAAGTAGAGTTGCTTTGCTTAAGGATTTCGTGATATGTTTGATGCAATAAAGGATTGGACGCACATCTCTACTTAATGAGCCCTCTTTACTTGGTACGTACAATCGAACGCGTTTATGTGTTTTTCAATCTGACGCAGCAGAACGCTTTAGTATATGATGCATTTTAACGCTTTTCCTATTTACTAACGCTGTCAAACGCGTTACATCTTGACCGATCCAGTAAATTGGATTTTCATTTTTATTTTTTTAATCCATGTGAAGGCTTTCTGACTAAGTGTTTGAAGGAATCAGACATGCACCAATACAATATACTGGGTCTCAATGATATTGGTCACCCCAATATATTGGATTTTCACAATATTATTGGATATTGGGTCAGTTGACTTCGGCCTACTTTTACAATACAGACGCATGCCTTATATATATTATATATTATATATCCCGCTTTGAATCAAAACATAACCAATTAGGCATGCACCGATTAATAATCAATATTAGGGCATTCAGCAAAGTCGTTCCAAATCAGTTATAAAAAAGCTCTTAGAGCTGCCGAACACCTCATTTTGTAGGAAAATGTTTACTCTACCAATCGTAAGTACTACAAAAATTTTAATATTATATATAGAGAAAATACAATAAATCGAAAACGCAGTATAATCATAGAAAAATAATCGACAGTCACCTTTTTCGCAATTTTGCTCAGTTTTTGATACTTATATTTCTGTCGCAGATAACACTAAAATGTCTTTTTACACTTCGGTTTGGTAAAGCAAACATTTTTCTACGTTTTTCCTGATCCACGTTTTTACGTAGGTAAGCGATATTAAGGTTAAAAAGTTGGAATCCAGTGTATTGCGGGACCCAATATTACCCAATATTATTGAGTGACCGATATTATTGGTCCCAAGAGATTGGGTATACACTAATATCGGGACCCAATATTATTCGACAGCCAGTAATATTGTACAATATCTTCAATAATGATTGGTATTTGTGCATACCTAGCTAGAGTCAATCTAGCATCCTGTGAGTGAGGCGATATAGTTTGGCCCCGATCCTCTGTGCATCAAACAAAATCGAACTGATCTCTGCTACATTCTGAAAGCCACCAGCAGCAAAGCACCGAGGACACATTTATGAGGACGATTTTAATTTTTCCAGTCGCTTTTTTCGTGTCAAAAATCGAAACATCGTTCGTTTTGTTAACGTTGAGCTTTTCGACTTCTGTTCCAACCTGGAATGTTCAAACTATTTTTTTCTGATTCAGCATCGAAAATTGAATTAGAAATAGTATTAGACCCAGTTCAGAGGTAAACACTCGTCCGCCATAGACGTCCGAATAGACAGGTGGTAAAAAGGTTTGAGTCATTCTGTAAACCTGTCTAGCTTTTTATGTGAAGCACTAGAACTTTTACGCAATAAAAGTATCATATTCGGAATCAGGATGAAAACTGAGTCGACAGATGTGTATGTCGA